GGAAGGAAGGAAAAGGAAAGAAGGAAGGAAGGAAGGAAGGAAGGAAGGAAGGAAGGAAGGAAGGAAGAAAAAGGAGGGAGGAAGAAGGAAGGAAGGGAAAAAGTGGAGAGAAAGAAAGAAGAAATAAAAGTAATAATTAGGAACAAGACAATGAAAATGAAAATGAAGGTGAGAGGAAAAAGGAGAGGAGAGATTTTTTTAAAGGAAAAGGAGGAAGACGCGAGGGAAGGAAAATAAGGTGATAGAATAGGGGAACAATGCCCCCCCCCCAAAAAAAAGGGGGGGAGGAAGAGGGATCATGACCCCTACAAGCAAGCAAACCAGCCCCTTCGCTTCCTTGCTGGCAAAACCAGCAGACCTGAATTGGCTGATCCGAAATCCAGGTTGGGACGTCCCAGCCTTCTTCTTCTCCTCCCTAAATTTCCAAGGCCCAGCTCAGCCCCAGGAGGGATGTTTCCTTTTTCTCTCTTCCTCCCCGACCCCCATGTTGGTGTGACTGGCTTCTCCCCCCCCCTCCTCCTCCTCCTCCGTCCCCCCAGCCCTCGCCCACCCTCCCTCTGGCTTTGTTAGCACAGCCTTGGCTGGATGGATAATGGCGAGCCAGGGAAGCGCTCCGCATGGCTGGCAGTCCGTGTGGAAGCTGCAAAAGGGAGGCCTGGGCCGAGGGAGGGAGGGAGGGAGGCCCGCCTGGAGAAGGCCAAGGAAGACCAGGCTCCGCTCTTCCCCACGCGATGATCTCTCTTGATGACTCCCACAAGGTTTTTTTTTTTTAAAAAAGGTCCTCCAGGAAAAAAAACATCTCCCACTTTCGGAAGAGGAACAGAAGCCATGCAATATTTTCCAGGGGGTGGTGGAAAAGGTTCTCCCCCTCCTCCTTTCTCCCTCTCTCTCTCTCCCTCTCTCTCTTTCGTCTTTCCTCTTCCTCTTCCTTTTTCTCTCTCTCCCTTCCTTCCTTCTTTTTCTTTCTTTTCCTTCCTTCCTCTCTCTTTTTCTTTCTTTCTTTATTCCTTCATTTTTATTTTTCTTTCTCTTTTCCTTCCTTCCTCTCTCTTTCTCTCTTCCTTCCTTCCTCTTTTTCTTTCTCTTCTTTCCTTCCTTCCTTTCTTTTTCTTTCTCTTTCTTCTTTCGTTCCTTCCTTTCTTTCTTTCTCTTTATTCCTTCCTTCGTTTTTCTTTCTTTTCTCTTTTCCTTCCTTTCTCTTTCTCTCCTCCTTCCTTCCTTTTCCTTCCTTCCTTTCTTTTTCTCTTTCTTCTTTCCTTCCTTTCTTTCTTTCTTTCTTTTTCTCTTTATCCCGTCCTTTCTTTCTTTCTTTCCTTCCTTCCTTCCTCTTTCTTTTTCTTTCTTTCTTTCTTTCTTTCTTTCATTCTTTCTTTCTTTCTTCCTTCCTTTTTTTCTTCCTCTCTCTCTCTCTCTTCCTTTCACTCTCTTTCTTTTCTTGCTTACCTTCCCCTCTTGAATGATTCAGGCCAGCCACACAGGAGTCATTCACAATTTATAAATGGCAGCTGAGCCTTCCTCTTTATGAACCGAGATCAATGCTTTGAGCAATCAAAAACGTTTGCCCTTTCGGAGTTCAAATGCATCTTCTCCGAGGCAGAAGAGCAGATGGTGCTGCTGGTGGTGGTGCTTCTTTTGGAGGGCTTTCCCAATTCAGAGATTCCTCTTTGCAAACCTGAAGAAGTTGGCAGCCTCCTGGCCTTGGAGCTCCCCTTGCAAAGGTGGGCTGGACAAGAGGGATGTCCTACAAAATGCCAAGAAGGTTTGGGGGTTTGGCAGGAACGTCAACGGAAAAGAAGCAGAAGCATTCAATCTCGGCCTTCTGCCTGTCCAGAATAACAAGAGTTGGAAGGGACCTCGGAGGTCTTCTAGTCAACCCCTCTACTCAAGCAGGAGACCCTGTACCATTTTGGACAAATGCCTGTCCAATCTCTTCGTGAGAACCTCCTGTGATGGAGCACCCACAACTTCTGGAGGCAACTTCTCTTCCATTGATTTAACTTTTTCGGTGGCAGCTCCGGGCTTGTCTATTCTTCCCGTGGCCACGTCCCAAAGGGGAGTCCCTGCTCCTGTTTCTGGGTTCCTTCTGGAAGCTGATGGAAAAGAGGAACTGGGAAGGTACCATTCAGGCCAGCAACACACACACAGAGAGACACATCCATATAGCGTGTGGAATTAATTCTCTCCCGTGCTTCCACTGCACCATTTAATAATTCTGCCTCCCTGCAGGAATGGTGGGGCATTGCTGAATGGGGCAGAAGAACAAGATGTAGACTAAGTGAGAACAATTAACCAGTGGAACAACCTGCCTCCAGAACTTATGAATGCTCCAACAATGGAAGTCTTTTAAGAAGAGACTGGACAGCCATTTGTCTGAAATGGTGTAGGGTTTCCAGAAGAACTCAAAGCTCCTTTCCAACTACTACTACTACTACTACTACTACTACTACTACTACTACTACTACTACTACTTATTATTATTATTATTATTATTATTATTATTATTATTATTATTATTATTATTATTATTATTTGTTTTGTTGTTGCTTGTTGCTATTATTATTATTGTTATTACTACTACTACTATTATGATAAGATAAGATAAGATAAGATAAGATAAGATAAGATAAGATATAAGATAAGATACAATAAGATGATAAGATAAGATGAGATGAGATGAGATGAGATGAGATGAGATGAGATGAGATAACCTTTGTTGACATTTTTATACTGTGGGCACAACGGCACACATCAAAAATGAAATTTAGTTGCCCGCTCTCAAAGTGAAACACATACACGACACACACTTAATACATACTAAGTACAACCTATGTACAGACCCACACCCCTACATATACGTAACTAATAAATATTAAATACTGTCCATCTTGAATACATAACAGAAGGAGGAAGCTTGAGAGTTCACAAGATTAATGCTGTATGGCATGAAACTCTGGCTGAATCTGGATGTTCTGCTTCGGATACCACGAAGCCCCCTCCTCCCAGAAGGGAACAAGGAAAACAGGTCGTGGAGAGGATTCTAAAGTACACCATTCCAATATACTGTATATATTTGATTTGATTTGATTTCTTTTAATCCCATCTTTATGTGTTTGTAAGTATCTCAAGGAAAGTACACCATTGTTCCTCTCTCCTCTGGAGGGAAGAGGCCACACCTTGAGTATTGTGTTCTGATAGTGGGCACCCCATTACTAGAAGGATCATGACACATAGCATTCAAAGGAGGGCGAAAAAGATGATCGTCTTGTAGTCACGTCATACAAGGAAGGAACCATGGATTATCTATCTCTCTGTCTCTATATTTATTCTCTCTCTCTCTCTCTCTCTCTCTCTCTCTCTCTCTCT